TAAAGTCTACCACAATAATATTATTGCACTCCCCTCACCTATCCCAAATTACATTTAAGACTCCTTGTTATAATTATCCGATTTACCTCCCCATGTTTAAGATATAATGTCCATTAATTAATTCGATCACTAATAATCAAGAATTAATTAATATATTATATTACCGAAGCTAGCGCTCGCTCATAGCATTCATATTATGCCGGAATAAATCCACCTGCAGGGTTTAGCATAATATTCCTTCATGAACTCACTTCGGGGACATCATCAGACTAACGCACATGGTGACCGTAAATATCCTAATAGCACATCGAACACATAATGTTATTACCCAATTCATTAAGTATGTCGACCCGGCTTGGATCTCACCCAAAGAATCAAAGCAACAACAATTATGTGCACATGCCTATTTAATATCTTACGGGTTAAGAGCACGCAATAATTAACTGAGACCTAGTTCGTTTACAACGATTAGTATAAAATGAACATCCCTCTCTGGGATCCTGTTCAATACATAAATGTACTAGTGCAACTAATCGGTCAAGACAAACCGTACGGTTGACACTACAACCGTTCCGATGGGTTGTTCAATTCCATCTAGGTTGTGAACCAATGATTCTTGTTTCGCATGTAACTGATATAGTGATCTTCGGTACACCCGATGACGACCCACTTATCTACATGCAAAACAACAGAACGTGGAACTTATTTAACCAAACATAATTCTCATTCATCAAGGAATAACAAGTGTAATATCCACTAAAGCAAAGCTTAAGTATATAACACCAACAGCGGGGGCATCGAGCGTGGGTAGCAACCGCGCAAGTGGCGAGGACGCGCACGAACAGGTCGACAGCGAGGGCGCGCGGACGAGAGCACGCGAGTGGGGCGCACATGCACGAGGCCTAAACCTTGCGGGCTTAGGAGTGCCGAGCGATGGGGTGCACGCACGGGGAGGAGTCAGCGACCAGCAGGAGTGCGCGAGGGACGACGCGTACGCGGACGGACAAGGCCTAGTCCGCGCGGGACTAGGAGAAGTTGAGGCGGCGGGTGACGCGTGCGAGGCGCGCGCGCGCGAAGCCGCACGCGATGAGGATTAGGAAACCCGAAGGGCGGCGCGCACGCATAGGGCGAAGAGAGGCGGCCGAACAAGTACTTGGGCGCATGAGTTGGAATTGTTTGGAGTGCAAGCCAAGCAAGATCAAGATCTAGTCAATTTAGGACTCTAGATATTTAGTTTCCTTCTTGCACAATAATATCTAGAATGTTTAGGAATTTAATATTTTATTGCTTTAATATGTTTCCTAGGTAGATTAGAATTAGTCATAGTTAGGATCTATAAATAGGGGTCTCCCCTCATTGTTTTGAGAGGTCTTGGAATTGATGAAATACAAAAGAACGTTTGTTCGAAAATGTGTGTTAGGATTCGTGAGAATTCGATCATGCAACCGAATTGGTGAGGCTAAGACCCAAGCCAGTTC